CCTTGATTACAAAATATAATCGCCGCCGTTTGTTTTAACCGCCACATATGGTTGGTCGTTATCGCGGTTTCATAAGTTACCTGAAACAACACGTACCTGAAATGCTTACAGTTCATTAGGTAATCTATAAGCAACATTTAGTAGCCAAGAACCGTGCGACAAATTATATCAATCGCTTCAGTTTGTTATAACAGCTGTGAACAAAATTCGAAGTAACGTTTTGGACACTAGACTGTTTGCACGATTATGCGAAGAAAGCGACGAAGATTTCTATCGATTGATTCTCCATACCGAAGTCCGCTGGCTTACAAAAGGTTTATGTTTGGCGAGATTTTTTGCACTTTTTCAATGTTTTAGAGTTTTTGGAAGACAAAGATTCCAGTTTGAAAGAAAATTTACTTAAGAGTGAGACAGATATTGCTTATTTAATCGACTTATTTGGCAAATTTAATGATGTTAATTTACAACTGCAAGGAGACAATTTGAATCTCATCAAAGCAAAATTGGTCATATCGGCTTTTGTTGCCAGATTAATGTTTTTTAAACAAAATATTGCAAGATCTGAGCTTTCCTAGTTCCCCAACTTATTTAAGATAAGCACAATCTAAGAAGAAAACATCTTGCTGTACGTCAACCACTTGGAGGTTCTTCACTTAGATTTCAAAACTAGGTTCGAAAATATTCTATCATTGGAAATACTGGACTAGATAATAAACCCATATACTACTAGTGCAGAACCAAATCTAATTTTGCAAGATGAGCTGTTAATCATCAGCACGAATGAGGATCTCAAAGTACAATTCAAACAGGGTTATCAAAAGTTTTGGCTGCAACAAGATATTCCACTTCTGAACCCGGCTCTATGGACTGTTGTACAAAAGTATTTGCTGGCATTTCCATCGTCGTATCTGGTAGAGAGAGGTTTCAATGTAGTTTTAAACCTGCTTCAGAACAGACATCGATTGCTTATCACTGAACATGGAGATTTGAGAACGCAACTCACTAATTTAAAATCGAATATAGATAAATTGTTGACAGATCACCAAGTGCACCCATCTCATTAAATCTAATTTTCCAAGCTAATTTATTTGATATTCTTATTGTTACAATTCTGATTAAAATCTTTCGTTGTTGTAATTTTGTTGATGTTTAATTCTGTCTGAATATGTTGATTTTTTCACTTCATTTTTATGTTTAATAAAGTGATTTCAATATTTGTACTTATTTTGAATTTGCATATTTATTTCATAAATGTCAAAAATTAAAGAAAACTCTGCTCATGTTTTTTTACTTTAATTTTCGATATTAAATATTGCACAAAATGCCATATTCCGTAGTCCTTTCATCTTTTTCAATCATTAACTACAAGTGATTAAAACAAAAAGTTTGATATCTAATGAAATATTTAATATCGAGTACTGTACAAATTTATTAATTTGAGTAAATAAAGTAAATGACTAGGGGGTCGACGGTTTTAAAAGTTTTTGGTAAAGAGGTCTGCGGCAGAAAAAAGTTTGGGAGCTCTTGGTCTAAACTGTTAAATAATGCGCAGAAGTAAAAATATTAATAATACAAATAAGTTTCCGCCGTTTTCAAAAGATAGCTCCACCGACAAGATTACTTTGAAATCGTCAGATGTAAAACATCATATAGAAAGTTTGGACACCTGGCAACAACATAACCTTAAAATACTATTGACTTTTTATTGGCAGTATACATTTTTTTCGTTCGAAAATGTCGAGTTTTGTACCGAATAAGCGTCATTTACGGGAAGTTTTGATTTATTTCTTTCATTTAAAGAAATCTGCTGTTGAGGCGCATCGGTCGCTTGTAGAAGTTTACGGTGATGCTGCTTTAAGTGAGAGAAGTTGTCATGAGTGGTTTCAAAAGTTTAAAAACGGCGAGTTTGACGTGGAAGATAAAGAACGCGAAGGAAGGCCAGTAAAGTTTGAAGACGCTGAGTTAGAGGCATTATTGGACCAAGACTCATGCCAAACTCAAGAGCAGCTCGCAGAAAACTTGGGAGTGACTCAACAAGCGATTTCAAACCGTCTCAAGACCATTGGTACGGTACAAAAGCAAGGAAATTGGGTTCCGCATGAACTCAAACCCAGAGACGTCGAACGCCGTCTTTTCACGTGCGAACAACTTCTCCAAAGACAAAATCGGAAGGGTTTTTTGCATCGAATAGTGACGGGGGATGAAAAGTGGATCCACTACGACAACCCAAAGCGTAGGAAATCGTGGGGTAAGCCCGGCCATGCAACAACTTCAACGGCCAAACCGAATATTCATGGCAATAAGCTAATGTTGTGCATCTGGTGGGATCAGCTCGGAGTAATCTATTACGAGCTACTCCAGCCTAACGAAACTATCACTGGAGAACGTTATCAACAGCAACTGATGCAATTAAGCCAAGAATTGAAGCTTAAACGCTTCCAATATGCCAAAAGACATGACAAAGTGATTTTTCAGCATGACAACGCTCGGCCACATGTTGCAAAAGTCGTCAAGGATACTTTGGAAGCTTTACAATGGGATGTCTTACCCCACCCGCCGTATTCACCAGACATTGCTCCTTCGGACTACCACTTGTTCCGGTCGATGGCTCACGCCCTGGTCGAGCAGCACTTCACTTCTTACGAAGAAGCCAAAAATTGGGTCGATTCATAGGTAGCCTCAAAAGATGAAGAGTTTTTTCGACGTGGCATCCGAATGCTGCCAGAAAGATGGCAAAAAGTAGTAGCTAGTAACAGACAATATTTTGAATAAAATGTAACTTATATTTTTTTACAATAAATTGATAATTTTTATTAAAAAAAACGGCGGAAACTTATTTGTATTACCAATATATTCTAATTTATACTTTAAATCTTCAGGTAAATAAACAATCCTTAAATATACTGTACATTTTGAGATATATCTGTGAATACCAAGTAGATTGTTTGGCTCATAATCATTAAGAAACAAATATAAAGAAAGAATAATTTTATGTTTGTTCGATGAACTTATTTGCTTCCAAAAAGAACCTTAAACAAAATTAAATTGTATTTTTTCTGAAGCATTTCATCATATTTTTAAATAGTTCATTGTTATTTCATATATCTCTGGTATTTCGAAAAATTATTTAAATACTTTTCTAAACTGAACTATAATTGGTATCGTTTTGTAAATAGTGACCATATTTCGTAATGTTTGTAACTGAAAATCTATGAGAAAAGTTACCTAATGATACATTCTCACAGTTTGTATGTTTCCTTTGTTTGTTATTATAAATGGAATTGTGTCTACTTCAAAAG